GCATTCAGGAGACACGTTATCACGTTTCGCCGCATCAACGGAATTTGGAGTATTTTCAATTTCCCACGGTGCACAACAACGAGCGAGTGTTGATGCGGGCGCGCGCGATTCTCGTAGACGAAGCCGCGGCTCGCAGCCGCCAATAAAGGACAACCATGCAGAATCACATACTGATTCCGGTGAAATCGGTCGTCGCGTGCATGCGACGTAAACGAAAAGTCGCATCCCACGATATTGTCCCATCGGACTCAAACGCTTGTCCAATTACAAAAAATTCGAATTCAAGCCACGTATATACTCTCTTATTGCACTTATTGCTGTCCTTTTGTCCTTTGCTTCTTGCAATTGCAATTTGCAATCTGCAACTCCCATTGAAGACGAAATCTAGATAAATGTTTGCCACGTGGCTATAAACGAATTTTACGATATACCGTATTATAAGTTGAATAAAATCTTCAATGGCAAATGAATATTATGTTGATAAAAATTTTATGCCGTAGAAAAAACGGGAGAAGTTAAGACACATTATGTACGATGGAATTATGTAGACACAGGTCTGTTTACGTATGATGTGTAAACTTTCCAGTTTCCAATAGTGAGTTTCCTTCAGAATACATTGAAAAATCCAAATTCTACTGATAATCGTTTTTGCAAACTTTTATTAACAACGAAAGAGCGTCAGCAACATCGCCATAATACTCTTCTCCCCGTCCCCCTGCCCCCTCCCCCTCTTTCCGTTAGATCGGCTCGATCAGTCGATGAGTCCATCGACGATGAATCGAAATAATCAAGTACAGATGGATTTGCATACAACACGAGAGTCGGCTATATCTCTGTAAGTTGCAGTGAAAGGATTCCTGATTGCGCACCCCATCCTTCTCTCTCCGGCAAAGGGACGCGTCCCTACCTCTTTGATCGGGCGTTGCCTCTGTTCTCTTTATCGAGATCGCATTAGCCGAACGAGGAAGAAAGAAAAAGAATTCCAATATCGCGCAAAAATTTGTCTCCGGGCAACCAATAGTCCGCTCGGAACGTTAAGCCGGATTTTTATTTCTCGTTCGGTACTACAAACTCGGCGTGAAACAGTAATAAGTCAAACTAAAACGAAGTATATCCGCTCTTCATCCTGAAAGCCGGATTTGACTTTAATTTTTGAGATTTAAACTAACGAATACATCATTGAGTTTTTTTTTACCGATGTTAATAAAAAGTAAAGCGTGTTAATCGGGCGCAATTATTGGGAAAACAACATTAGATGCAAGATGGGATAAAAACGTACGTAGAAGCTATAGCAGAATAATTCTTAAAACTGATAAACAATTAAAATTTTGAATTGCATAGAAGAGAGAATAAGAAATAAATGGAAATGCTGTTTTTTAAATTTATTTTTTAATGTTTATACAAATAATTGATAATATACATATAAATATACATTTGTTGATTTTATAAAATTGGACTGAAAGAAAAAAAAAGTTTGAGTAATGTTTTTTTTTAAATAAATGTGACAGAAAATTAAATGTTTTTAAAATGTATACAGCATCCAACCGCAATATTTGAACTTTTATAATTCGTATGAAATTTCTTCCTTGCATTACCCAGGATACTCATAAAGTATTCTATAAATAGCTCTTATTATGTTAACCAACAAAATCTTTTTCGCCCGCCAGGCTAGCAGCCGCTATCTCCGAGATTTATTTTAATTCGTTCTCAGAATAGGAGGTTCCCGCAGTCAGGGCACGAAGTTCAGTATAATTACAGATAGTAGACAAGGCACTCTGTCAGGAGCCATGTGCGTACACGAGGAATTATGCGTCTTCAATCTGTGAAGGAACGAATGAGGATGGAAAGGCGGTGAGAATAGAGGCGTATTTAGAGATCATTCACTTCCATTCCCGTCATAATGAAGAGATAGTATAACACAAAGAAGATTGATTAGAGAGGAAGGGTGAGCGAGCGGTGGGAATTAAACGAAGAAAGAATGGGAGTAACATATTTGGTATCAGAAAGAGATAGCGAGAGAGAGAGAGAGAGAGAGAGAATATAGTAAAACATTTTTCATTAAAAATAATGAAGTGTAACTTTTGACAAAAATGCATGGCAGGAAAGAAGGAGAGCACTTCCTCGACGGCTGATGATTTCTTCGAGCGACCTGCTCGTAAATATTTGCTCTTGCGTTAGTGCGGTGAAGGTAAATTCTGAACCAGGTCGTAATTATATTTGCATGATAGAGATTTACATTCGTCTGGCGGATGGATTTAAAAAAATCAGAGGATGAGAGAAAGGAGGGACTTTTGAACTTCGGAACAGCTCACAAAGTTAAAAGTCATATAAATGGATAGAAGAGCGCGTGCATATAGCGTGTGAGTATCCCGACCAATGAGATACTGAGTGTAGGTTGTTTTGCAAAAGTTTACTTTGAGCATTTCAGAGATGCTTATCCTCGTATCTGCTATCGTCGTATTTAAACCCGCTCTCCTCGACGGCATTTTCCTCTCCGACGTATTATCATTTTATAAAATTAAGCCTTGCATTAGTCTCTCTCTCTCGATTGTTTGCCTTTCCCCTCCAGGGCTCAACCGCGAGAGATACATCTTTTAATTAGTTACACGTCAAATATTTAATCGGAGACGAATGCAAATAAAAATGGACGTTAGAGGGGAGGAGAAGAGGGGAATGTCTGAATTAAAATTGATCCGAGTATTAAGATTTTTATTTCGGATAGCTTACGAAATTAAATGCTCGTGCTTTTTATTTGAGATATCTGCCCGTTTCTCTCCTTTTGTGCTCAGTGATTTCGTAAATGAATTTTTGCGTCAAGAATACCAATTACGTACCGAGCTAACTACATTTCCAGAACGTTCCGGTTGGAAACAGTCCAATGCCGGCTCTGGCGAGGTCTGCCAAGTGCGTTAAAATCTATCGATCCACAAATTGCCGCGCGAATCCATTTAATCTTCGCCGTTGTAGGTGGAACGGAATAAAATAGACTAATAAGAAAGCGCTTTTGCGGAGACCGTATTAGCACCGAAACTCCGAGATAATTTCGTAGCTTCGCCGATAAAGTGCGACTCTCTTCTCCGTAATAAAGAGCTACATCATTAAAAATCCGCTTTTCGAGATGCTGCAATTAATAGCGAAAAATATATACTTTCATTTTCGAACAGAGATATATGTATCTTAAGTACGCCTCTCCGGTATTCGTATTATCTGTATCATTTTTTTCTTTTTATTGTTAGCTTTTAATCAACGGAATCCATGCATCCCGAAACAAATAGTGAAACCCGGTCGAATCACGGAATCAAATTTCTCCTCTCGTCCAACGATCGGATGCACCGCGAAAATCAGATTTACATTAACAGTCGACAAGTATAACGCAAACAAGGCGCATATCGTGCAGCGAGATGTTGCTTTCGTCAGCGTTACGTCCGCATCACGAATCGCATTATCGTCGTGGCGCGCGCGACATGCAGCATCGACAAATACAATAAACACCGAGCCGCGTTGATGATAATGGCCGGATCGCTCCGTATATTACTGCGGCGAATTGAAGCGAGCCTGGCATTATTCGCGAACGCGTCAGATATTACGCCGCGCTTCGCGCGCGAACGGTTTTGTCGTCGTACGACGCGTCGCGGTTGCAAAAGCCGACCGACTACTACCGTTGGCTCGGCGGCGCGGCAAAGCGTCGGGGGCGAAATTGCATACGGTACGGGTAATAAATGAGATTTCAACCGGTTGAATGCGAATAAACGAAGCGCGCCACGACGATGGTGGACTCGACCGGGCGCGCGAGGCGGAGGGAAAAATCGTCCAGAAAATTGACGCTGCCGCCGCCGGTCGTGCGCGCCGATCTGCGCCGCGGTGTCGTTTTCAGCTTTCCCACGGTGTGGGCGAGGCGAACTTTTCAATTCAATTTCCAGATGGGTCGCACAAAGGCTTATTTATGAAACGTTCGCCAAGAGCGGAAGCGAGCGCGAACGGTCGTCATCAGGAGACGACGCGCGAGAGATGAACGGAGAAGACGAGATCTCTTCGCTCCTCCTCCGGAGCTTCGATAACGCGGCCGATGCCGGTCGCAGGGTCGCGCTGCCGGTAAAAGATATCAAAATAATTGAAAAAGTTTAAATAGACTTCAATGTTATTTACGGCGGGCTACGTAACCTGTGCCAGTTTTGATCTCCGAGTCCCTCATTTTCGCGCTAATCGCGCCAGATCGACTGAAAATTCGTAGGCCATAAGAATCACTCTTCGCGTCTTAATTGTCTATCTCTCTTTAAGTATTTTTTTTCCTTGCCGTTAAAAACTTCTGTATACATCCAGCCAACGTAGGAAACTAAAGGAAAAGATTTTTTAAATTTAATTTCATATCGCAATTGAGGAGTGGGATCAAAAAGTAAATTAAAGATTTTTTCAACTGTACATCAAATTTCCAATCGATATCCCGATTGGCCAATGTTTCGCTTTCAAGATAGGAATACTGTGGCGTGTATACGCGACTATATGTTACAATGGCGATGAATGCCATAGTCATCGGTGCCATGTGTACTTGTGTACGTGTTCGCGAATCGCACAGGTTTCACACAGGCACTTGAAATAGCCGTAGATATGTATTCCGCCCAATGGTAAAGGGGGTCCCCTAATTGTTGCTGCAATGTTCATAGAATACGTGTGCTTGGTCGGCGGCGTTTGGCCCTGTGTACGTGCGCGATGTTAGCATCGTATACATTATCGCGCTATACATTCCTTGGGGCGAATATACGTGTTAATGGATCCTTGCACTCTGAATTAGGTCCATCTGCCAAATGGACGCGCGGACCGGCGGCAAAGGGAGCCTCATTAACCGGATATTCGAAACGCATCGGTCATGTTAACAATAACATCTGACACTTAGCGCCATTTCCGAAACTAAATTAAGTTTTGAATTTCTACGGGATCGCGCGCGTGCGTGCGTGTGTGTGTGTACAATAATATATTCGCGTAATTATAGAGTGCAATTATTGGCTTCTCTGCTTTTTTCTTTTTTTTTATTTTTTTTTTCTTTACCTTTTATATCTCGTAATTCCACGAGCAAATGAGCATAATGGACCTCGGGATGCAATTTTGCACGTTTACAAAACCCATTTCATTCAACCGCCAGTTTTATATTTACAGCATTTTCCACTGTGCCGAAATTTACCCTCCCTCACTTTCTCCGACTTTCAGCACGCCTCTCTATTTTTCGTATAAATGAGCACTGTAAAATTCACATGCAAATGCTCGAGGGATAAAAGAGGTACATTTCCGCGACTATTTCGCATAGCTTCGGCATTTCCAAAACAATTCTATTGCTAAACCAAATTACGCTCAAGCTCGTACAGACGAATAGGGAAAAAAATACATAACGACGATTCGGAGATGCTCTTTCAATTATACAGTTTGATCACGCTGTTTTCATCTTACTTCCAATCCACTTACGTATTGTGCATCGATTGCCTATATCATAATACGTATAAACTTGCTTCGAAGCCCATCCTACAGTGCCTAAAATAACGCATGAAACTAGGAATGATGTTATCGTGAGGAATACAATGATATCTAAATCGAATTGCTGATACCACGCGGTATCGACTCCATTGAAACGTAAATGAGGTGCGCCATTGTGACGCATTACGAACTCGATCCACCATATAACATTCTCTAAGCTATCGTAAGGCTTGTCCTTTGTGAGAGCACGTAGCGCCAACATCCTATCTTTGTATCTGCAAACAGAGCCGCAAATATATATGCGTGTTATTATATGTAAATATCACGAATGTCGTTCTGCGTCCACACGGAGACCATTATTATCGTACATACGTATGCGCACGCGGGCGCACGTGCGCGCACACTATAAATAATTGACATCGTAATTACCCTTTATCATCGACGACTTCCAGTATGGTATCGCGCAATTCCGATGTCGTAAGCCGGACTACGTCTAGGTATTTTGCAACTCCCAGAGAAACCATTTTCATAACTTGGTACACCTGATCGAAGACAAACGGCATTCCTATGAGCGGGACGGCGTAATGAACCGCTTCTTCGGTACTCTGCAGTCCGCCTTGATAAATGAAGAGCTTGATGTTCGGATGAGCTAAAATAAGGGATAAGGGAAACGATTAATAATCCCAATATTAATTTTTATAAAGTACCGACTCTTGTCTACTTTAATTTACCCAGCACATTCTGTTGCGGGATCCACTTCGAGATAAAAACATTTGACGGAACGTGGAAGCTATCGTTCTCGAATTTCCACAGCACTTTGTACGGCAAATTGGTAAAAGTGTTCACAAAGACGTCCAGTATTTTCTTCGGCAATAATTTGCTTTTTGTGTTCGATCCCAGGCTCATGTAAACGAAGCCGTTTGTTGCACCATCCAAGAAATTTTTTAAATTCTGTAAACGAAAAATTTTATGAAAGTATATTTTTTTATTGTTCAATGTGTTAAAGCGCGCAAAAATTATTAATAATAGGAAATAGAAATAGAAATCGATAAATTATTACGAAATATCTTATTACAAAGTGTCCTACTTTTGGTAACGACGGCGGTGTCTTTGCGATGTGCAGTCCGCTGAAGTGAACGATATTAGGTACTTCGGGTCTTGCGTAAGCGAGCAGCGGTTCTTGATTGATCAAGATAAGACTCATATTCTTCGCAACATCGATGATTTGCGGTATATCATTGCCGAGATACTTTTCGGCGATTTTTTGTTGCTTGCTCACGAAATTATTAAACCATGAATGTATGCTCCACCAAGTATTGACAAAATTCACCAATCGCCTCCAAAATGGTTGATTTAATCCTGTCAAATTTTCGAGCTCCCAATTCGAGGGATGCGATGGCAGCACGGGACTACCAAGAGTGAAACGGTGGCAGTTTTGTAAGTCCATGGACATGATACCTGCGGTTATAAAATTCGTTGAATAGCAGCGTTTATAGCCGTTACATAATGATATAATTGTGTAATAAACTATATAATTTTATTTATTACCTATTAAAGGTGCATTAAATCTATGCGCCAGCATGTAAATCGCAGGAGTCATAATCATCTCCGCTATCACCGCGTCAAATTGCACATCAGTTCCATTCGCATAATACTTGATGAGATCAGGATGGCTAAGAACATCCTCGGCGATGTTATGACCTAGCTTTAGTAATCTCGTTTTTAATCCCGCTAATTGTGTGAGATTCCAACGGGTCTGGCTCAGGTCAGTGTCGTCAATTTTTTCATATATAAAACCAAAGTCTATTTCCGTATAATTAGTTATGCTAGGATCGTTCAAGATATTAGGAGTCAGTGTTACTATCTCGTGTCCTCGCTTATTCAAAGCAAGACTTATCGCCCGAAACACTATCTGATGACTGTAGGATGGAGCTGGGGTAATGATCAATAGCCTTTTGCTCCATACTAGGTTACTCGTAATCAAAATCCATAGGATTGTGATAATTGGCGAGATACCGATAATCAGTCTCATGCTATAAATAGAACAAGATAATTATATATATTTAACTTTTGATTACTATACTATTTCTAAGTAAGTGTTAAGTTAAAAAATTTAACGGATATATTCCTTGGCTTATTTCATGAAGAAAGATCCTAGAATTATAAAGTGCTTTGTTTTTAAAATACAAGGTGTCAAAGTTTAGAAAAAAATATAAAAATTTCAAAAATTTAGAAAACGCTTAGAGATATTTAATTCAAATGTATTTATATTTTTATCAGATTGTCGATTCAATAACCATCCCTTTTGATTGACAACACTCTAATCACAGTCGTTGCAGAAACGATAACGCCGTCGATAAAATCTTTTCTTCATAAAATAAGCCAAAGAATATATCCCTTTAAATTTTTTGCACTTAGAAAACATCCTGTATAAATATATGTCAACATATATTATACTATGTTTTTTATCGTATACATACATGCAAAATTACATCTTTTTCGTTAAAATAAAATATAAATTTTATTATTTATATTCTGTGACGTACTTGATTGAATCAGATTGCGTGTACTTACGTTGTTAACAAAATATATAAATTATTTTGATTATCCCCTGCACTAATCACTAATATGTAATAATCACAGTGTATTGCATGGTTCCAACTCGAGAGACAAGCTTCAACTGACTTTAGAAATAGAATAAATGGTATTATGTAGATATAGAGGGGGAGTATTTTTCCGTCTTAATTTGCAATCTTGTCTGGCAATAAATGTCAATGATAATATAATAGACATTAATTCTCGTTTGTATATAGAATCCGAGAGGTTTATATCTCAAGAGAAGATATTACAATCAAGAAACTCTAAAAAATTTATTTAAAAAAATATTACCTCAATGTTGAACATTGCACAGTCTATCTTTGATTACATATTTGTACAATTACGTGTAATTTTCTACAGATAATATATAATTTCACACTTCTTTTTTTTTTAACGAATTTCTGAAACAAAAAATTTCATGCATTATTCTTTTACGTTGCATGAAATAATAGTATGTTAAATTCTTAATCTTTTTAGTTTTCGATATAAAAATAACTCAATATTTCGCATTTTATCACTATATAAGCGCAACATGAAAACATGAAAAAAGAACAATAAATTTTTATTATCAAATATCTCGTCTTTGCTTATATTTTATGACACAAACATTATTACAGTTGCTATTATTACAAACACACATGTATATACAATAAGAACATCATATAAAGATAATTCGATCTATTAAAAATTTTTTATTTTTAGGTTATCTTTAAAACGTGAACGCGAATCAGATAAATGTTAGTAATTTATGCAGTCATTATTTTTAAAATAGATATTGAAACGTATAAATCAGAGATTGTAAAGCTTAGGACTGTACAATTTTCTGGCATTTACTTTCCTACTCTTGATATACAATTGCTTTGACGATTCTATATTTCATTATACATTTAATCATGAAGCTGAATTTATTGGAATTATATCAGTTTTAATGAATTACAATTCCGATTCATTCAATCCAGTAAGTTCCATCTTTGAATCCAGGCTGCTTGCATTTTTCACATCTAGACTTTAATATATCACAACGAAAAAGAGTAAACAAAATAAGGGTAGCGAACTGCGAGACAGCGAAATCCAATTCTTTTACCGATTAATATTGTCTGTTGCACCTGGAAACATGGCGAACATGGTGCATCGGTAGTACATGTATATTCCAACGTGAGTGCGAAAGGAAAGACTGATTCGTTCGTGGATCACTGGGATTTATTTGTCAAGTTTTCACATTTATCTGTATAATATTTACTAAAGTTTTATGGCAAACATTGAAATTAAAAATGTAATATAGGAATGAGGAAATATTTTCCTGTTTTGCTCTCATTTTGCTCTTGCATAATATATCATAGCAATATTAAAAAGATCAAGGTTGACTGGTTTTTTAAATTTGATTCGCGTCTATGAATTCAGAATAATTATGCCTACGCTGTTAATACTGTCACTAAAGTTATGCATATTAAGTTATACATATGGTGTATGGAACTAATTTAACGACTAGTTTAAGCTGTATATAAATCATAAGCATACACATATTCTTTCATTAATATGTAATAGCTCGTTAAATATGTCTAGAGGAAGGCCAGTGCTTGCACTGTATTGAAATTATCATGAGGTGTAATGTACGTATATAACCAGTAATAATTGTTAGCTCGTACACGAAATGCACTTAGTGCTTTTTTTTATCGTGCATAACATTTCCACATGTAACAACTCGAAGAATCGTCGATTGTCCGAAATTGCTGTCTATAAAATGGTAATGCGTGAGCTCGTGCGAACTAGCGCGGTATTGAAAGCGATCGTCCCGAGTAACGTACGTTTCCACGAATTCGATTAGAAATGAACGCCGGTTAACATGATTGAATCCCGTCTGAGAGCTTCCCTTGTACTTGGGAATATACGCGACGTAGGAGGTATTTGCAGCGGCAGGAATCCTTGATAGAAGCCGCGACTAAACGCACAATTTACAACTGCGCGGAAGGTGCAAGGCCAGAGGTCTCATATCGAACTATTTCAATTCGGCAAACAATTGCCGATATTAGCGGAATCACTCGGAGTGGTGTTTACGATGCGCAAACGCATGGTTTCATGTATACAGCCGTATGTGCTGCGCTGAGGATTGAAATTATGCAGATTAAGCTCGTTCACACAGTGTCCGAGAACGCCTAGGCGAACGTTAACTCCGATTATACGTACACTATCGCTCAAAAATATTTGCCCATCCCGATTTTTATATGTATCGTTTTTATACGTCTAATTCTGTTCTAATTCTAATATATTCTTTTTCTTTACAAGTGACAACTCAAAAAACGTGATTTTATTATGAATGAATGAGATACATAAACATTATCCTATCAATCATTAAATTAACATAACTTAATAAAAAATCATCAAAATTGTTGCAATTCAAAAAGAGTAGTTTTTTTTAAAGTTGTGAAACGAAAATGATCAAAATTACATTTCAGCATGTTAAGAATATTTCCTTTTTGCTGATATTATTTGATTAATCAATAATGTTGAATTAAAAAGAAGTTTTTTCCCCTTTTTGGAAATTTAATTTTTTGAGTTGCATCACTTTCAAAATAAGCGATATGTAAAATGTAAAATTTTGAATTATCAAACATTATTATTAAGTCTAGCATATCTGGAAGATTAGGAAAAAAGATTCACTCTTCTTTACTTAATTAAGGAAGAGTGAAGAAATACTTTTGAACGGTAGTGTATTTGTCGCGAAACTCTTTCTCCTGTACCGTTGTCAACGAAAATTCAGGTTTTAATCAAATATAGGAAAAAAATATTGTTTTGTTACGCAATTAAAAATTGCTTTGTTAAAGTAACAATTAAAAAGTTACACAGATCTAATAATTGCAATCTACGCTCGGATGCACATGTCCAAATATATATATATATATTTTTTGAACTGTCTCCAGTTCTATTTCGCACTCGTGTATAATGGCATGGCAAAACACAAGCGCGAGCTTATCGCCGTATCGTCCGACGGAAAACGTTCATCCTTAGTCGATGCACGCGCGCCCGGCACGCAAGCACGTGTATTAAATGCGTTTCTAGTGTACGTCGAATCAAAATCAAATCGAGCTTGGTACGTGATCGGATGGCTGCGGAACCAAACAGAGACGGCGGAATCCTTTCCCGATCGAGACAACGGCGACGGCGCGGCGGCGCGGCGGGGTAACCCTCCAACTCGCCCCGCAGTTTCTCAACTGTAATTTCAACTCGATAGTTGCCACGGTATTACGGAACTGCGCGCGTAGCTCCCTAACTCCATTAATCATTACGGCTACGGGATCGGTCCAAGATCGTTTTTGAGAGGTCCGAACAGTTTCTACTTGAATCCTAATCCGTCTTGGCCACGTCCTATCCATTTCTTAGCCCCTGACAAGGGCGCGTGTTAATGCGAATATGAATCATCGTAAACATCGCCGACACGGACTAGACTAATTTGTGCAAGGCTTTATATTTGTGCACATTATACATAAACCATATACTTATTTTAATAAAAATAAATTTTATACATTAACGAAACTTTTGTCTACATATACACATGCTTAGAGCAGAAGAATACATTTGAAATAAACATTCTACACAATAGCTTTGTGGTATTTAGTTCTTTTTCATATTTAAATTTTTATATAAATTCTGATGTAAAAATTGGAATATTGCATAAGAAACAAGTCTGACAGGAAATCCAGGACGGGAATAACCTCCGACGCCTTCTCTTTTTATAAGCAATTCATCCGTTTTATCTTTATTTAATGCTGAAGGCAATTTACGATATAATCATGGAAGATTTGATTATACAACAATTATTGCGCAGCCAACGATAATTACGGAATTCAATCTCAAATAAAAACAATCTTGCAGCGATTTTATCGTACGCATAGAAAATTAATTTATCTGTATCTGATGCACGATACATATAATTTTCATAAATCAATAACAAACGCTAAAATACTTGGAATTTCCTATTATGACAGTACATCGTTTACAATGTCGTGAATGTATTGGAAGACTTGTTTGGGAACATTTCGTATTTAAGTTAAAAATTAGCGAAATAATTTTAAACGTAAATACTATTTTTATCAGAAATTTTGTTTAACAAGTAATCACAAATATACATTTACAAATATGTATTACAAATAGATATTATACAATTTACATTTTCGTGTCCATCTCGTATAGTGATGCAATGTACTCGCGAGGAACGTTTATTGAATAGAATCAGAAGTTAGATTCAATTAAATAAAAAATATTAATCAAATCCATATAGCTAAGTCTATCAAATGTTTTAGTTATGAAATATCGAATTCTTATTATAATTCTTGATTTCACCAAATTATTCAACCATATCTGTCTTGTTGATATCATTTTTCTCAATAATACTTTGGTCTACTTATTTTACATAGGATTAGTAACAACAGATCATAATGGACAGTCAATGTCCATCTTAAATTATTTTATAAATGAGTTGTCCTATATAATTGGCAATAGATTATCTCGGCCCGACAATTCGGTTATCGTTCTCAAACATGCCTTAGTTTTACCTTGTGTACACGCAAGAATAGAATTTGCTCCACGGATCATTAGTGTTTTATGACGGTAGTTGAACGGCGAACGGCCTAGCCATGTTTGGCAGACTACTATTACCGATTCTATGGCGCCCCCCCCTCCCCCTTCAGGAAGACGCGATAGACGTTCCAGACGCAAAAGAGAATCCGTCTCTTTCCGCTTAAATTTGGGAACCGAGTTCGGTACACTCGCAACTCCGAGCAATCGTAATTTCGCAGGCAGCAGAAGTTTAGCCGCCGGGCTTTCGTTCGAGAGGTAGAGCTTAGAAGTCAAATATCGGGAATTTCATTTGCGCGCCGCTATGTATTATTCAATCGTACTCAAAGGAGTTTCCTCGCGGGATAAGCTGCCGTTGAACTCATCAATCACTGTTCTCGGCTCTGACAGACTATTCCAATAAGCTCAACTGTCGGGATTAGTACTTGTGAAATCGATGTATGTCATCAAAGTGAACAAAAACTTTGTTTCAGACCTCCGAAGGCACAAGTGTGCACCGGGCTTTATTGTCACGACGTACTTTTTTATTATAATTTACCTTCTATTTTCGACATCGCATGAATAGAGAATACACATAATGATCAACAATGGAACTGGGATAAATATTTATTTTAGCAATTTGGAGTCGTACGAAGAAAGGTACATTATATTAAAAATGTATAATTTTCCTTACAAATTATCCTCAATACGATTATCACAATATGATTAGAGCAAAACACTAAGTTTATGATACAGATGTAAACACAGTATGACATGTTTATAAAAAATTTATTAATGTTTTATTGACGAAGCAATTTGGATTTACGTAATAGATAATTGTAGAGACAATATTAACCGCCCTTTTTAGATGTTTTTGGCACCGTTGTAATTTTACATTTTTTGTAAGGTGGACAATAATCCTTGCAAAATGTAACTTGATCAATGTAAATCTGAACCTCGGTATGTGGCTCCTTGATATGCTGAAAAACAAGCTTGCCATCCTTTAGATATTCACGAAAAGGTACTGTGCAAACTTGTTTCCATCCGAAACCTTCCGCAATTCGTGCGATATATCTGTAACGAATATGCTTACGTTAGGTATATATAGGATATATCAGACTTCAGATTATTACCTGTGTGAGTTTATCGATTTAATTTTGTACATTGCGCTTCTATTCGCGTAACGTATGACTGCAACGAGACGATGGATAATGTTTCGTATCGAATAACGCGCTCATACGCGTTGAGAAACGCATCAAGTCATCGCGTGCTATCCTAATCCTAATTAACGCGATCGTTATTCTTTTAATACGACACGAAGCCATATGTCAGCTGTCCCGTGCTCTCCCGGGCTCGAGTTTGAATTACAAGGTAACAGTTACGCTGAACACGTGATATACGACGGATAGAGAGTCCGGCGATCTTTCTCGTTGACGGCGACCGGTCTCGAAAATTACTCAAGATCCCGTCGAGGCGAGCGAACCGCGCCGAAATGACTCGCATTCCTTACGCGTCTGTAGCCTAACCAGAATTCCACGGTCAGCCAGCTGGGACTTACCTATTGTTGCAGTCAACACGGAACAATCGATAGCCGCAATCGCGCGCGAGATACCAGCTATCTAGCACGAGCTTTCTAGCAATACCCTGCTTCCGGAAGTCCGGCCTGACCGCGAGATAGCTGCACTCGAAGATGTTGAGAACGCAATAGCGCTCCCAGAGATTCGGCTTGCAGGTCACGTAAGCCCCGAACTCGATCACGTCGCGGGCCGACCCGCATTCGCAGCGCCTAGCGAACTCGACGACGTTGTCGGGATCCCAAGGACAGGAGCGGGCGTTCACCGCGGCACCTACGATACAATTGTCTTGTCCCTCGGCAATTAGCGTCATGCCCTCTCGGATCTCGTCGTACATGAGTTTTAGCAACGACGGCGCGGGTTCGTCTTCGTTTAAACCAATGTTCACCATGGTTGGATCGTCCTTGAAGAACGCGTCATTCATGAAATCCATTACTCTGTCATAGTCCGGCGGAAAAGCCAATCGTATCTTGTAAGCTGGTCGAGTCTATTAAATATATATTAAATATATTATTATTATATATAAGGAATAATTATTATTATAATATAATATATATATTAAATATATTAATATTATATATAAATATATTATTATTATATATAAAATTATTATAAATAATATATTATTATTATTATTATATATAAGGAATATAAATTTTTGCGATAGTAAATGTAAAAATAGATTGAATATTAATGAGAGTTTTTTTTTCTCAACGAAGTATCTTGCGGAAAATATAAAACTAACTCTTGTAGACTTTAACTTACATATTTTACAGATTAGAACAATACTTGTTAAAATCTACATTATGTATTTTCATTTTTATAATATTTTTATGAATCATAAATCTCACCTGTGAGGCACTTACGGTATAATTTCGCATTGCAATGCGCATATGATATTCTCGATTTCTAAATACGCTGAGGTATTTCAAACATCTTGCAACTGGACAAATCGACCTTGACAAAATCGATATCATATTTTTGTCACGATGACCTCTCAGAAAATATATATCTTTATTCCGTTTTGCAATTCTTTATTAAAATATGCAACGTATTTTAGGACGTTCTTGTATGCATTCCACAATAGATCTGCCGCGTTGACGGCGATTGATATTTTACATGTAATTTTCCATTTCTCTTATTTTTAGGTTTGTTTAATTATGCATGCGCCATGAGATATAATACGTGGTATATTATAACGACATAAAAACGAAAGCCTCTTACTTGGCTCTTATTTGCATATTAATAATAAATTATAACTCGTGAAACCACACACACATGTTTGATGGTAAATTAAATATATAATTTACGTTTCCTCCTCTGCTTCTCTATGACATACTACACGCTTTACTGTCATTTCTTTTTTATGATAATTGCGTACTTCATGTTATTCACAAATTGCGAAACAAACGCCACCGAAATCGTAGTTTTTGGCTTCTTGAGTAGACCTTCCTGCTGTTTCATTGGTAGAGTGTTTTCTTTTTCCAGTGAAGATAAACGGGTGACAATAAACTATCGCGGAAAGGCGATCAGATCCCCAAAATCAGGCGTTCTCACAGAGAATCACACGAGCGCATCGAACGTGCGACGGTCAAATAAAAAGGAAGGAGGGCAAGATACGAGGCGAACGTCCGCTTTCGAAGGATTGGAGATTATCAGAAGATAAATTGCATTTCTTCTCGGGATAAAACGTCGCCGTCGAGGCAAACTGTCAGATCTACTTCTTTGACGTAAATTATCCGAGAGCTGACGCGTTCGTTACGTGTACGCGTCGAGATTTCGCGCGAGGAACATTGATTGAACTACGAACGAGATAACACCGAAATAAAACAATTTATATAATTAGACAATCGTCCGTTGTTATCTCGCTTGAAATCCATCAATCGAATTTCCGCGAAAATTCGTGTGAGCTGCAGTTAAAGGAGAACGCGTTTTCACTTCCGTTAAGAAAGCATTCCGGGCGGTAAAACTTAACGCCCCGGCGTTCCGCAGTTTCTGGAAGACCAGGTCGGACGATAACTCAAACACGGCTCTATTCATTCATGGCCGTTGTACGAAGTGATATGGGTGGCAGCCTGCAGAGCGGCATCTGATTTATGTATTCGCGCCGCGTTCCACCGCTTCCGATATACATGCACCTTTATATATACACCGTGTACATAGACCGACGGATACATATAATACAAGCGTCGCGTGCGTGCACGTACACGTGTTCACACGGCGTGTGTATGTGCGAAGGCTGGAGGGGAGTGTACGCGCGAATATACACACGTACGTACATAAGGTGGTGCGCTCGCAGATACGTATGCGAGGACGGTAGGTGCCGCGGCTTATTGTTGATGAATACGGGGAACCCGAGCTCACTGAGCCACGAAGGGGAGATGCGGGCTTTATACATATATATGTATATATATATATATATATATATATATGTATATATATCGTAGTCAGACTACAGCGAGAGAGAGAGAGAGAGAGAGTTGGTAGGAGACCCGATAGGTATACGTTACTGCAAGTGGAATGCCCTCGCGGACTCCGTCCTGGGCGGGTGGTGAGCCCGCAATGAGAACGCGGGGGAGATACTGCGATACTCGTATATGCATCAATTATGTGCCTTGATTCTCATTTCGCGGCGGGACCACTCGCGAAAGATTGCAATTTATCGGGCACAACAATGCGGGCATTGTTTAATATCCATTAACCACCCGCCGGCCTTATGCGGTTACCGGCTGGGTCGTATTCGATCATTCGCCAGTTGCGTAAATAAAACTAGGCTTGCCGCGCTTGTGATGAATTGGAGAAAGCGGGAAATTAAATTTATTGTCGCGACTCCAATATTGTGATTGTCAATTAAAACATTTTTGTGCCAAAGTGGAAAATTGATGAGAGAGAATAAAGTCGAGCTGCTACATGGGAAAAGAAATTATAAAATTGCAATGATATTAAACTAACAAATAATATGTTTGCCTTTCATCGATTTATTAGTAAAAAAAATCAATCGAGTAAATGTAAAATGAAAAAATAACAGGGAAAAGAGAGAGAGAAAGAGAGAATTCGCGCTTATATTTTATTACAACTAAACGCGTAACGTGTGTGTGTGTGCGTGTGTGTGTGTGTGTGTGTGCACACGAGATGTGGAGAACTACGATAAACGTACGCACAATAAATGTTTGAATACGTGTAATATACATTTGTTCGAACATTTTTGTATTTATTTCTGAATTAACGGCTGTACTATACAATCGCGACTCAAGCAATCATATAACGTCATACATAGGTATTAACTTGAGCCGTTGGTTGCTGAAAGCGAACTTTCAACCCTTCGTTAAGCCTGTGCTCTGCTTTACGAATCCGTCCAAGTTCCCGAGGAGTCCGTCTTAGGGTGACCTTGGGCTTCTCGGTTACCTTCCGTCTTCTTCTCGTTCCTCCGCTCGTTGGCTTCCACCTCGACAAATCTGGAACCGTTACTCCCACCTTTCGCGTACTCGCCTTCGGCGGCGGCGTGTTTCTCGCCGTATCGACCGTGCCTCTCGAAGTGTCCACCCTGACGGCCGTTACTGTAGAAATCGGCGTCCTTCTTGAACTCATCTTTGTGATAAACGTTGCGATATCTGGCGGTATTACGGGCCTTCTCGCGAGCATCTCCGGTCTCGTAGGTAGCTCCCGTCTCTTTCACGACTTCTTCTTTATGATCCTCCGCGCGATCCTCGTTTTCGGAGTGGCTCTTACTCGCGCCGGAGACTTCGGCGTGCTCAGCCTTCTCGTTCTCCTTTCTCGTGTCGCCCTTCGAACCTACCTCGAAGACGGCGAGGCTGTCGTTACCGTGATCATCTCTCGCGACTTGCTTCGTCTCGTGCTTCGACGCGGCGTAATGCGCGTCGTTATCTCGATTAAATCCGTCGGATTTACCGGGGTTGCCGTCGTCCGTCGCCGAAGCTCGCCGTAACGCCGCATTTTTGCGACCCGACGGTCGGCCGGTTTGCGGTTTCGCGAACGCTAGCTCCATGTGGGTGACTCCAGGCGACTTCACGCCCTCATAACCGACCGGCAGCATTTCCGCTTCAGGTTCTATAATTAAGGGTAGCAAGACCGGGTTGCCCCTTGCCCTCGTAATGATCGCTCTCATTGTCGACGGTCCTTTCTTCTCCTCGAACTCTTCACTATCTTCGAAGATCTCGAACAATTTGGTCGCAGACATCTGCCTCTCGAAACCGTAGCCATTAGCTATTGATTTTGGGTTGAACGATCTCGAGATACCAGTGTACCTTTCGTTAGATCGGTCTCTCGATGGATGCGCGCAAACGCATAGCACAGCGCAAGCGGCGTACCATCCCGCATAGATCTTCATTTGTTTTGTGGATGTCCCCGTTGCGCTCGGAAGCCCGGGGTTCCCGTTCAATTAGTTCAATCTAATCCACGAATTCGCTCGAAATTTTATGTGTATAAATAGACTAGGCACAAGACAGAGGGACTTCTGATGATGTAGCAACGCGCCGGCATGCACTGTAATAATCGCGTAATAATACCAGCTCTTTTATATCGTACGACAATCGCTCGGCCGAACCGAAGACTAGCGATTTCACATGGCCTTAGCGTATCTAAGCGTAGCGTATAGATCAAGATCAACAGCGGTTTACGGATACTAGTCAATCAGTGATGCAAAGCAAACTCGTGGGATTATAGATCGCAGTTTCATAGAGCAGAAATGTTGTGAAATATATCCTAGATATTCCTCTAATTCTTATAAAAATTCTTTTACAAAAGAAATTAAGTGATCGTAAATTTAATCGAATCAGGATTGATGAAACTTAGGTATTAAATTAGCCGAATATCATATTAATAAGAGATTTCTTGAAGATAAAAAACTGAAACAATTGGAATTTATCTTTCTTAACGAGTTTTTTTTATAGTGAACACATTAACTTGAAGCCATGAGTTGTAAGCTAAAATAATAATAATAATAATAATAAGCTATTAGTTTATTTTTACGGTTAAAAAAATTAAATGACTTAAGCTGTCGCGGATAGTCTCTGTAGATTCGCGATCAATACTCATTCTCTTCTCAAACAGATTAGTGTAGGAAGAAATAAGTTATAAGATAAGTTGGAAGTTTCACGGAAAATCCAAATGATTAAATCTCTAAAATTACTTTTATTGTAGAATGAAAAATTGTTAAAATTAACAGCATACAAAACAAATTTTATATAATATAATATTGAGATATTTGTTCCAATCTTATACATTTGTCCACAAGGGTTTCGGATTAACACATTCAAGTGAATTTAATTTTGTAATTTGTTATTAGCTAATACATGGTTAGCTTCAGAATTTTATTTTTTAGCCGAAAATGAAATAACTTAAACTTTGTCGGATATACTCTCCGTGGATTCGATCAATCGACGAGCAATTCTTCACTGAATTACACAATTCTAACGGAGTGTTGACTAATGTCGTGGCGAAAGAAATGTACCGTTAATAATGCGCTCCGCATTTGAAGCACCGACGCGACGCGGCCATGAAATGATCTCGATGTCGCTAAAGAGCGTGTCACTTACACGACGGAAGGATAAACGTGTCCTTCCAGCGTACGTATATATAAGGCGATAACGCTGACGAACGGATACAACAGTGTCGGACAATTTGGAGCCACGAGACGTAGTAACGATTATTATCCGGCCGTTGGTGCTCACTCAGGACACCGGGATTTGGTTAGCATGATTGCGAGTTTAGTGATAGCCGTGCTGTTCGCCGGTATACGCGGCGATGGCGCGTCATCGGCGAGGACGGCACATATGATGGTCTCTAAGATGAGAATGGCCGATCTCGAGACCTCCGCAAGCGGATACGCGTACAATCAGCGAGGGGGTCTTCCGGCCGCGTACATGCGGTATACCAATCACGGAAGCGGACGTTACTACCATGCACCGGCGCCAGTGCATTACATCGTCGGCAGTCCTGCACCTGTTGCGCCCGCCGTTTCTGAAACTGCGTCGTCGCACGAACCCGTTCTGCTCGCGTATGCGACTGCGAAGCACGAAATTGCACCGTACGTAACGCGCCAGCCTTACCCGCGCGATGGATTCATTAATTATGGCGTGGGCCAATTAGCGAAATACGCGCAACCGCTTGAACCGCCTAAACTGACTGCACGTGCGCCGTATTATTACGCGCCTAATGCATTTAAACCGCGCGAGACGGATAAAAATATTGACAAGAGGAGCGACGACGAGGGGAAGGAGCGCGATTATGACAGCGACGAGGACGGCGAGGACGACGATAAAAAAGAGGAAAAAGGTCATGTGCCTGAGAATCGCGAAAAAGCAGTTGATTTTATAGCAACCCATCCTATTCACGGCCTCGACAACTCTCGTTCAGATATCGACGTTTCGTTTGAACACGGTGAAAAGTATTCGGCCGCGCAGAATTCCGCTCATGGGGAAAAGGGCGACAAAGGGTACAACAAACGAGTGGAATTTGACGTGGGTGAACGCGAACAGCATGATAAAAGCAGACAACAAGGTGGATTTTTGTTTATTTTTTTTTCTCCCAATAGACGTTCATTGATTTTCCCAATGCACGTTTAAACATGTATATTTTTGCATAAACTATATTTACTCCGGGTGAGATATTACTTCTTTTTTTTGCTGGATCTTTCAGAACATTACGATATCGAAACTGGGCGTAAAAAAGAACACAGCGACGTAGCTGGAAATTATGGCCGCTACGATGAAACTGAGAGTGGTGAGAAGGGCAGTAGTTACGGGCAAACATCATACCACAAAAAGGGACAAAAGACCAGTGGCTTTCATAAAGTCTACCACAAGGATGAATATAAAAAGCATACCGACTTCTATGACGAGAGCCACAAGAAAGGTTATTTTGACAAGCACTTCGTTACTGACGAGCACCATAACGCTGCCGAGGGTGATTTCAAGAAAGGTGGACATCATGAAACCGGGCTCGATAATAAAAATAGTGGTAGAAAAGGGTTTTATGACAAAGGACATACACAGAGTCGCGATCGTGGCTACAACAAAGAAAAGGGTAAAAATTCTTTTTATAATAATTACAAAAATTATGGCTCCGACGACGACACGCGTTCAACTAAGAAGCACGGGTATGACAAAATTGATTGACATTAATTGATATTGCTGAACATGTATTTAATGCTAATATAATTTTATCTATTTTTTTATGTTAATTGTCATTTGTAATATGTAATAAAAAGAAAAAAATTATAATTACATTCTTATAATGCAGATTCTCAATATGTACATTAAAAATAATACTTGCTGCATATACATTGTATGTAACATCGCTCATGAATTATATTATTACATCATTAGAATTATTAATTAAGAGGATTATAATGATTATGATTGGAATAATTATCGAAACCATAATTGAGATAATAATTTCAAGAAATAAATAAAGCGATACATGTATGACGATTACAAACGTAATATACATTTTTATATTTTCTGCACAATATGCGAATTATAGGTGAAATATCAGGGATCAATCCCATTGTTTTAACTTAGATTATTTATATTAAAAATATGTAATTCCCAAGAAACGCTTGATAAAACAAATATGTAAAATCGTGTCAATTGCACCACTGAATGCGGTAACTGGCCGATACTATTGTTTTATGGAAATAGCATGTAACGAGCGGCCATATTTTCTTGTGACAGCTGCTACACCGCAGAAGCGTAACTGATGTAGCACAAAACATGAAACTCCACTGAATTATTACGACAGTTACCGATTTCACGGCACATGTTACGGTCGCAGAAATAACTCAAATTTCATTTTACGTTCAGTATATGTCTATAGTATATAGACATATAAGAGTTTGATTAATACAAAGCTATTGCATATTTAACATATACGCAAGAAAAATTATGACTTAATAAATACAGGCCATATTTTGCAATAAATTGCACTCATAATATATTATAATATGAGATAATATATAAACGACGTGTAATATATCTATTGAAAAAGATTTATTCTGTTCGTCGACACGTACAACAATTAATGCAGCGTGATAATCAATCAACGCAGCTCAACGAGTAATAGCAGCGCAAATCATTATTCTCCGCATATCCATATTAATGTCCCTTTTTGAATCCCCAATGTTTATGATCTTCATGGCCACCCTTCTTGCCATGATGATGATGATGATGATGATGCTCGTCGTGTCCGTCATGGCCTTTGTGACCCTTATGATCATGATGATGATGTCCTTTCTCGTGATGTCCCTTCTTGCCATAGTGATCCTCGTGATGATGATGGTCATGATGTCCTTTCTTAAAGTGGCCACCTTTCTTGTGCCCGTGCTCATGATGATGGCCACCGTGTTCCTCATGGTGACCATGATCGTGATGTTCGTCGAAGAATTCCTTATCCTTCTTAAACTCGTCGAGTTTGTGAACCTCGTGATGTCCCTTCGTGTGGTGGCCTTTGCCGTAATGCCCTTTCTCGTGGAATTTGTGACCCTTCTCTCCCTTCTCGCCCTTGTGATGTTCGCCGTAATAGCCATCGTCATGATGATGGTGCTTCTTATGGCCTTCGTCCTCGTGATAGTGTCCGTGATGGCCCTCTTTATCGTGATGTCCCTTCTCTCCTTTTTCATGATGGTGATGCGACTTATAGCCTTTGTCACCTTTCCCGCCGTGTTCATGATGGTGATCGGAATGATGCTCTTCATCGTGGCCGCTCTCATGATGATGAGTGGCGGCTACCTGCAGATCGTCGTAATACGGCCTGCTGATCTCGCGTGCGATGGTCACGCAATGAGAGGCGATACATGCTGCCAGTAGGCAGATCGCCACCAATCTGCTCATCGTGTCGTGTTTATTCTCGTTTGATCCGATATCAACGAGAGATATTTGACTTCGTCGCTGCGACCGGTAGGTATGATTAAGCTAGTCGCCCCGCTCGGATTATATATCGATCGCAGGGTATTCGATATGAGAGTAGCCAGAGTTCTTTCTTGGCTCATTAGGCCGTTGCGAAAGCAATGTCTCCTTAACCTGTTTAAATTGTAGTGCGGATTTCAGTGTGCCCGCGACAGTCGCGTTCGGGTCGTTATGTAATATCATTGAAATCGTTGTCGTGCTTACCAAACTAGCGTTTGCAGAGCCTAAATAATGCGGTTTTTTGCCTTTTTTTAGCCGGTAACACGTTGATTACAATAGCTTTAATTCAACAGGCGGAAATTTATATATGATTAATATATTTGAAGATAAATGCCGAAATGTAATATATGACCGGATATTACCATTGAGTCTTAGCGAGTAGTTTAGAAAAAATGACGCTTCGATTGACGCCGGAAATAAATTGGACGGTTATGAATGAAAAACGGTAAATCGTTCCGCTGTACATCTCGTTCCGGTTATCGATCATTGACAGAACTTTTATTTATTTGTCAATAAATTCTGCATTAACTTGATTATTTTAAGTGCGTCTAACAGACTATTATTTATATATGCATATTGTATATATATTTAAATTAATTTGATTTCTAGATTTGTAAATTTTCGTCATATATTTTTAAGAATTAATAACATAAGAAATTAATTAATATAATTTTTTTACAATAATCAGCAAAATATGTTTTTTTATTATTATGCTCGAAAGTTTTTTTTTTTTAAGAAATTAATTTTATTAAAATTTTAACATATCTGTGAAAAATTATATTTTTCCGAATACATACATTACATATGTGTATTGTGCGTATGTATATTGCTTAATATATTTTTAATAAGTTTTTTAATAAGATTATAATATTACATTATGGATTATATAATACGACATGATTGCACATATTTTAATTTTTTACTATCTCTTTCTCTTTTTTTATTTTTCTACTCAATATCAAGTCTATTAAGTAATTCAAGACTGACAATGGGTCTATACATCTAACAGCGCATTCAAGCAATAATACGAAGCAGTACGAACAAATGTTTTACGAAATACGAGTACTGTATTGTGTTTGAACAAGAGTGAAGGAACGAAAGCGATTACGTACAAAGCATTGGTGGAACCGCAGGTATATAAGCTTAGCTTAAAGATTCTTGGACAGTCAATTTGCACTTGTTGGTTCTAACGGGATTCCAACATGGCTAAATACGTAGGCCCATGCTTGTTTCTGGGATTGGCTGTGATATGCACGGTCATCGCCGTATCTTCGGCGCGAGATGTCCGAAGTATATATGGAGATTTGGAGGTGGCCGGTACTCATCATCATCACCACGGTCATCATCATGAGCATGGTGGCGGTCACGAGCATCATTCTCATCACCATGGAGAACACGGTGAAGAGGGCCATAAAGGTCATAAGGGCCATCATCACCATCATCATGGAGAACATGGCCATCATGGTAAGGAACATCATGAGGGCCATCATCACGAGCATGGCGGCCATAAGAAAGGTCATCACGACGAGCACGACGAGCACGGCCATCATCACGAGCACGAACACGGCCATAAAGAGTCGAAATTCGGCCATGGAAAGGGTCATAAGAAGGGCGAGAAGACTCATGGCTATCATCACAAATCCCACAAAGATGAATTCCACAAGGAACACAAATTCTATGATGATCATCATAAAGGCGGTCACCATGAGAAACATGGTGATCATCACGAACATCACCATGGCAAGGAGGGTCACCACAAGAAGGGCGGACACCATCATTCTGGGCACCACGAAGATCATCACGGTAAGAAGGGTCACCATGATAAAGGACATTACGATGAAGATCACCATGGTCATCATGGCAAACATGGACACGAAGAGCATCATCATCATCACGAAGATCATGGAAAGAAGCATGAACATCATGGCGGCAAAAAGCATGGTTATCATCATGGTCATCACGGCCACCATCATCATTAATAATATAAAACTTACCAATTTAGTGCGACATAAACAGAATAAATTGTTGCACCATTTGTTCATTGCTTTTTCGTTAATTATTTTTAGGATGTCAAATAATGGATTTATTTCGTTATTGAGAAATTAAAATGCCTATACCAAATATGATTGAACGTATTATTTCCCCTAATAAACTCCTATACCTGTAACAGAAATTTTGTGTCTACTTTAAATATATTAAATATATTAAGTATAAATATATTATTTTCTTATATTAAAACATACGATATTGTACTCAATTATTATCAAATGCAGATGTGCTTTTTATATACAATGTCTTATGAACGCATGAATATGAATCGTATTTTATAATTATTTGAGCTATTTTGTTTGTCGTGTCATAATATTTATACACTTATATTTATTACCGCAATAAATACTAAACTTTTATTAATGATTTTACATTCAGAGATTAAATTAATTAATGCACATTTTAAAGAATAGAATCTAGTTGATTAAATAATGAATTTTCTTTTTAATAAATATGCGATTATGGCAAACATATAGATCGATAAGCATAATGTATTAATATTTCAACATCCTGAGAGATACTTGATTAATGCGCTTAATGATCTTAACTGTCTATAACATATTATAGTTATATGAACATTTACATTCATATCAAATTTAAACGCGAATATTCGATTAAATGTGAATATTTTGAAAGAATAAATGGCATATTAATAATGTAACATCAAGTTTTTTCATACACTTGAAATTAAAACCTTTAAAATCGTTGAAAACATTTTTTATAATTTATAGAGATGTATAAAATGATATACGATAACTCATACTCTGTTGATTACGAGAGATGTCAATAAACAATGTATAAATTTGAATCAAATTTATAAGAATGTAAATTCTCTCATAGCCATTTTAATAGAAATATTTATTTTAATCTTTTATATTTGGTTTTAAATTTATACAATAAAAGACAATATTGACACAGTGTAACTTTCTACTGTAAGTTTAGTGAACTGTTGAAAATCAATAAAGGAAGTTTAATCAGTATCACGTAATTCCATTTATATAACTTTAAACAAGTAGTAGATTACAAAATAGAACAGACTGTGTAAAGTCTACCGCAACGGAGGAAATGAAATGGAACTCCCCCCGTCAGCTTTTATTTATATAAATATATACTTTTTTCTTATAAAATTTGATGGCTCACTGCACCAGAATCGCAATATAAATAACACCCCTCAAATCGCTACCTCATACACCTTGCACTGCTAGAAAGCGCTTAGATCTATTGTTTGATCTAATGTAACAAATTAATAGATTGAGTTTTTTAATAGATAGTTATCATGTTACCTCTACGCCGTACATTGCCATTGATAACAATTCTTGTGGCAATTTATGTTGCCACTAATTGCGTGACCACCGCACGTGAAATTATCAGAAATTACGACGATCTTCAAGTAGCCGCCAGTCATAAGCATGAAAGTGGCGGTGGGGAGGAGCATCATTCCCATCATCATCATGAACATGGCGACAAAGGTCACAAGGGTTATAAGCATCACCATCATCACGACAAGGGTGAAAAAGGACATCATGATAAGGAGCATCATCATGGACACCATGACGAGCACGGAGGACACAAGAAGCATCATCATCATGACGATGGTTATCATGATGAGCACCATCATGGCAAAAAGGGGGAAAAGGGTCATAAGTTCCATGAGAAGGGACACTATGGCAAAGGGCACAGCACTCATGGCCATCACGAGGTGAAGAAGAAAGACGAGTACAAGAAGGACAAGGAATTCTTCGACGAACATCACGATCATGGCCACCATGACCATCACGGTGGTCATCATCACGAACACGGACACAAGAAGGGTGGCCACTTTAAGAAAGGACATCATGATCATCATCATCACGAGGGTCATCATGGTAAGAAGGGTCATCATGAGAAAGGCCACCATCATCACGATCACAAAGGACATAAGGGTCATCACGATCATGATGAGCATCACCATCACCATCATCATCATGGCAAGAAGGGTGGCCACGAAGATCATAAGAAGTGGGATTACAAGAAGGGACATTAAAATTGGTTGTTTCTCAGGAGATACCACCAGCTGCTTTTAAATAGAATTCTGTTACTCGCTTTCGTTCCTATTACTCGTGTTCTTCGTCATATTATGCAATAATCCAGCAATACATATATATACTCTATATCTGTGTTAATTGTTAATCATGCATACATCGTTGAAATAAAGTAACATCTTTAACACATCTTTTTTACACTGCACGCAATTTGCGTGGTGGATAGTAATATCTAAATAGTTACAGAATTCTACCACAGCTGAGCAAATGATTACAAAAAAGTCTATGACTATTGTATAAAGCTTAAAAAGTTCCATTCTATTATCTCTTTTCTTTAATATGAAAGCTGTCTGTGCAATAATTATTAAGTTGTCAGAAGAACATCTTTCTTAATTGAATAGACATATATGCGTTATTGATCGGCAAATTACGAGTACCGTAAATTATCAGCATGCCTGGGATCTTCGCTTTTAATAAAAATTCCTACGCTTCAGCTATTTATCAAATTCCGATATTAATAAACAGCATTAAATCCGCCGTTGGTTATAACGCATTATCGGGCGGCGGTAAATAAATAAAATATTCCCATGGTATTACGTATTAATATCTAGTTCAGCGAACTCTTTCGAGGGTGTTCTACAACTCGTTTAGAACGCTTATTATTAAAAAAAAAATTCAAAAGATTAATTAAAAAGAAATACCGCAAAAATAAGTCATTGTCATACGCGTGAAAATCGTATGATACAGGACGTACAGAAAAACATCCTGTAATTTTCAATTAATATTCGTTATTCATTAGCGCACGTATTCTCAATCTGCTTTGCAAGATAACGGTACTGAACTACGACCATTTTCCATCGCGTTGCGTACGCGTCGTTCGTTTGTAAAAACAGGGCGGAGGCAAGAACGCACGGAGGGCCTACTATCGTATTCATCGCGCCGCGGATTTGATTAACGATCCCACCCCGTAGCAAATGAGATCGCCACTTCCATGGCGCCCGTCCGAATTGAATTCCGGCATCCCGGACACGGATTAACGGGGGAGGGAGGGGGGTAGACTTTATGCACTTCTTTACTGCCACGTACGATGTAGCGGGTGTTCAGGGTTGCGCGAGCCCATTCTCCGCCGGAGATTGCATGCGCGCGGCAACGAACCTACTTGAAATGCTCCGCCGTGTGACAATTCCGGCGGAGGCCGTCGAAAGGGTCCGCTATTGTTTCGGCTTGTAATGCACGCACGTGTGGGTGGTTTAATTAATGTAATTGAAGTGGGGCACCGGTGCGGGAGAGGAAAAAAAAAAGAAAAAGCGAAACGCGCGAGCTCGAAGAAGTACGCACAACCGCGCGATGTTGTGCGATTCCGCGTGCTTTCACAGAGCCAAAATAATCGTGCTATTTGATCAAATTAATGAAGACTCAGGAAACACGTGACAATTGCATTGCATTCCCGCGAATTGTTGCCGGACTAGAAACTTTTAACGAAAAAAATAAACAGTCGTTACTTTTTGCGAAACCAAATTTATTCGCATTATTATATCACTTTTTTCATCCGTGCAACAAATAAATAATAAATTATTTTTTAAAAATAAACACAACGTAGAACAAAAGTTCTTTAATAAAATGTTGTTGAAAACTGACTAAATAAGCCCTTTCGTATCTTTGATGCAATTTTCACGAAGTTGAAGCAACCTTTCGAATAATAAATGATCTACCTGCTACAGTCGTATAATGAAAATTGCATCATGAGGCCGCGCAAGAAAATCCTTTGACGTAAGCTACTAGATTAAATATTTGGATTAAGCTCATCTTGTTGGCGTATTCATTGTATCACGCTAAAAACCGATGTAAGTAATTAAATATGTTCATAATCAAGTATTACCCTGTAAGCAGCAGAAAATGTTTTAATCTATTTACATATCAAATAAAATGTCAAAATAGAAGTAAAGAAAAATCGATTGGAAGTTTATCTTCAATTCAATTTTAATCAATATTTTGGTTTATCTTTTTTAATGACATCTTTAGTTGGAAAAAATACTAATGACGTATGTTTATTGGAGATTCGGTTTTTATTATTTACAAACAATTAATTGCTAGGCTTATAAATTATATACATAACGCAGATCAATTTAAATAAATTCTAAAATCGTTGTTGATTAATCAATGAGTAATGAGCGCTGGTTATGTATACACATTGCAGAAGGCATCAACGATTTACATTAAGCGGTCATATGTTTTCGACGGCATGCGCCGGCTGGTCAGAGATCGTCATGATGCGGCAGTGTAAGAGAAATAAAAATCAAGAGAAAGAGATCGAGTTAGTTAACTAAATAAATCTGTAGAAAGGTAATTGTGCAAAAATAATTTGTTGCAACATTGTTCAAAAACAACATTGTTTTTTCTGAAAATATTCATTTTAAACTATTTTAATTCACTCTGAAAAAAATTCATGGTACTAAAATTTTTTTCCAACATTATTATAGAAATATTAAATTGCATAGCTTGACTCTGTTTTTAAACGCGATGTAATATTGATTACATTATATTACAAAAGTATATATTTTCATTTTAATATTTTACAATGGATAACGTAGTATTGAGTTACACACTGTTACAAGAGATAACATCGTAGCGTGTAGGCATACGCAGTATTTATCTACAAATTTAACGGTGTCAACTCGCAACGCGTTCCCGTGGCACATTAATATCCGGTAATCAATTCAATCAGCTGGCCAATCGATTAACCTCAATTATTGGTGCATTAATGATCTGTGCTATATGTGACATTAAAATTCATACTGCAAAATTGCTAATATATTACTCTTGCCCGACAATAGAAACGCGCGGCGCTGAAAAATACTCTCATTATACAGTAAATCAATTCCCGCCCGTTTGAACCAATGAAACTATCGTTTTATATCTCACTGTTAGAAAAAGTTCTATCGACCATATATCTTTTACAAAAGAAATATTCAGTCAAATTCTATTTTCAGTCGAATTGATAATAATAATACGTAACATTAACGCAATAATATGTTTCTCGGTTTTTTTTTTCGATTACTTTGTTATAAAGAATAAAAATCCTATTCGCGTGGTTCGAGAACAATGACACGTTCGTTCTCGCGCAATCGTTATCTTTGTCAATAAGCGAAGGCACAAGGCGAGAAGAAATGGCAAAATTACTTTAGTTTGCCGATGGGAAGTGATAAAAGGCCGCCGAGAAAAACGGTGGCAATAAATCGCGAGGAATCGATAAGGCGTAATATCACCGTTGCCGTCTTGACTGTAATGTAGCTGCTGGGACAAATATGAGCTGGGGTTGGGAGGGGTGGCAGGGGGAGGCAGGGGAGAAACTTATTTGCCCCATTAAGACTTGAAGGAGAAAGAAAAGTCAACGAGCCGCAGCCAAACGATTTCTTTGCGCGTGTTAGTATTCGCACGTTTACTCTATATAAAGAACGGTACAAAATACAACAATCACGCGACAACATCGTCGCGTGACTTTGTCCGAAGCAGGTACATAGGCCGTAACTGTAGAACGACTGTAATCGCCTTTTGATACATAATATTTGAACGTACAACTTCTAATGGCCCTTCTTATAGCCGTACTTCTTTCCGGCATGGTGATCGCCCTTCTTGCCGTATCCATCGTGATGAGAATGATGGTCCTCGTGGCCGTGCTTGCCGTGGTGGCCTTTATGCTCCTCGTCGTGATGACCCTTGTCGTGGTGGCCCTTCTTGCCGTGGTGATCCTCGTGGTAACCGGAATGATGATGACCGCCCTTCTTGTGGTGGCCCTCCTTGTTTTCGTGATGACCGTGGAAATCACCGTGCTTCTGGTGATGCCCACCCTTATGATAATCATCGTAAAACTTATGCTCTTTATGGTACTCATCTTTATGGAATTTGTTGTGATAACCTTTGGTTTTGTGACCCTTCTTGTGGCCCTTCTTTTCACCGAACTTCCCACCTTTGTGCCCCTTCTCGCCCTCGTGATGCTCGCCGTATTTTTCGTGCTCATCATGATGACCCTTTTTCTTGCCTCCGTGCTCCTCGTGATGACCGGAGTGGTGGTGCTTATCGTGCTTACTATTGTCACCTTTGTCATGATGGTGATGGCTCTTGTATCCCTTCTCGCCTTTTCCGCCGTGCTCCTCGTGATGATGAGATTCATGCTTGTGACCACCGCCGGACTCGTGGTGATGACCCTTGTGCTTGGTCGCCGCCGTCTCGAGATCGGCTTCGTCGACTATCCCTTCGACCGATGATGATTCCACGGTGGGCTCTAAATGACTTACGTCATGGTCATCGTTCTTTCCGATGTCGCGCCGGCTAACGCGCGATTCCGCACTGGCCAGATCTCGGGCGTGACACGTCGTGTGCAGCGTGAGCGAACATATTACAATGAATGGCAGAAATAACATCGTACCTCGATCGCGCTCGCTTTCGATCGGACTGATGGCCGATGTTACAACGGTTGACACTTAAATATCGATGGTCTGGCTACTTCCGCCATGGCGCGGGTCGTCCGTTTCCGCCGAGAGTCCACTTTCATCCGCACGACCGCAAGAGTATTCCTAAATTTCGTTCCAATCTCCGTTGATACCGTTGCGGTGGGGAGGCACACGGTTTCACACTTTCTCGCATCGCCGCGCATTGCGTTTATTTTAGACGAGAATATTCCGTCGCGCTATCTCGCAGCGTTCAATCGGCTGTTAAAATATCATTCGTCGAGTCAGTCCTCATTGTTGACTTCTTGTTCGCGAAGTGACATAACAAATTGTCTCGTTAACGTTCCGTCCCCCTCTCCAAGTAATATTTGTAAAATTATGAGTTTTCCAACGAACGTTCCGGACAACAATGTAAATTTTTTATTCGATTAATCGTATCTCGATACACTGCGTGAACGCAATGTTTCCGCAAAAAGTTGTATCCGGCGTCAGGAAGAACTTTCCATTACCACTTTTTCTGCGAGCGTCGGTCTGCCGCAGGAACAATAACGGAAATTTCTAGACCGCAACAAATCGCATTATCGTCTTCGTATCGATCCTGTTCCTTTTTCCATTTGTAATCAACATCTGCGTTTAGACACAGATTTAACATGGTTAATTAAAATATTATAGTTAAATGTATATTTTTACTTTATTTACTTACTTTTTTTATTTTGTGCTTGTTTTTAAGGTTTGCTGAACATATAATTGAATACCGATGATATAAAATGCGACTGATCGTTTTTCCGCTTTTTCGAGGCAACAGCGATTGATAAATATATGAATTGTGAAAAACTCAGTCGCGAATTGCCAAATATCTATTTCGAATCAAAGTGGCGTTCCGTTGTCCGACACATGAACGCGTCCGATCAACACCTCGCGTAACGGCGTGACCTCAATCGATATTTGAAGTTAAGTACCCTACCAGATGCTCGCGCAATCATTTTAATTAACGTCATGACGTACAAATACAGGATATGCATATGTCGTGCTGAATGCCCTAGAAGCGTTTTGTTGTCACAGCATGCGTGCGTCGTCGCGGCTCGCTAGCTCATCGATAAGCTGTCTAATTTTACCATTAATTCTATTACCTGCGACATAAATTCGCCTCTCGTAAACACAGTGCCATTTATAACGTCATAAACCAAAAACAATTTATTGAGTTTTACAGACGTCGGCGACGCGTATATCACGCGTGGCGCTCGTTGCGCGGGTCGTTTCGCTAACTGTTGACCCATTTGTTCCGGCATCCCTGGCGGTTTTATTAGATGATCTCGAAAAACCATCGAAAACGGGGGAAAATAATGGCCTTAGTGGTCTTAATCTTCCACCAATCAAATGAAGAAATTCGATATATATGGCATTATTCAATGAAATAAGAAAGTCTGTACCTAAATTATCAACGATTAAAATACTGAAATTTGCAATAATTTCGTATTGTCAAAAATCTTTATATTTTAAAAATATAATGAACTTTGTTAGAACGAAATAAATGGCAGCGACATGACGCGTGTACGCTACAGAACAAATACAGAAAGTGGAAAATCTCGATGGTTGCCGGTGTTGATTTCCATTGCAAATCCAAAAGTATCGGTTCGTTTTGCAGTTTAAGATACTGCTCAATAGATTCTGATTCTTTACGATCTTACTTGGCAACCACTTTCGATTGGAGATTGGCTCTCGCCGGCGTTGGCGCTGCATAATCAAGATAAAGATTGGTTATACTGCCCAGTTTCCACGAGGATCCCTTCAGACAGAGGGAAGACCAGGGGCTCTGCCAAGTTCGATTTCGATTCGGCATCGTAACGGAGATTAGATTAGGCGGCATTCGCCGTAGATCTCGACTCGGATGGAAAGATTGCTTTGTAAGCAGATCCGAGGCGGCGCCGGGCCATCAAGATCGTTCGCCTCTTTGTTTGGTCAATAAGCTCTCGGCGTGGCTTCATTTAAAATCTAAAATGTCATTGAATACTTTACGTACGATGAAAAGCGTTCGTGAATCGCGGCATAATTCGTTGACTCATCAAGCATTTTACTCTCACTCGGTTTGCGCCGCTCCCGAGGATAGTAATGCTAACGGTTGTGATTTCAAAACTTTCCACACAGGCGTAATTTTCATAATTGGAATATTCAACCATACCATTAAATCTAATTTATAATCGCGAGCTCCGATTATAATTCTATTCATATTAATATTATTCCTAATACCGCAAAAGAAAAAATATTATTTGTTGTAATTTCTTTATTTTACAAATATACATTGAAATTAGAGACAATTTTTTTTGTCGAGTTTGTTAATAATGAAAGAAATGGCGAATAACCGTAGACGTCGTCTAAGTCGCGCGTCGCTAAATTGTGAGCTCCGCAATCAGTTGATGGAACCGTTAGTCCTGGCTCTCCCAATCCGACGACCGAACTTGTCTCTCACATTCAAGTCTTACCCTCGCACCATCTTTCCTTCTTCCTTTCTTCCTTTCCGCATTCGTTCCCCGCGTTACCACTCCTGTGGCGCATTCTCGCATGTTGAATAAAACCGTCGGGTTATACGCCGGCGCGAACAAAAGGACCTCGCTCCGGCTCCTGGGCTGCTAATGAAATTGTTTTCTAATTTAAACCCGGAGAGAGAGAGAGAGAGAGAGAGAGAGAGAGAGAGAGAGAGAGAGAGAGAGAGAGACCACCCAACACAGCTACCATTCTACGGTCAAGAGCCCCTATTCAAGCTACAAGCTTTTCCGACGATAGCCGCGAGAGAGCTGACAGTGATAGTCCCTAATTTGAGCTTCCCTCTCGCTTTGCTCATCTCTTAAACTCATTTATGCAAGCAAACAGTTGATATTTTCAGCTGATCCACTATCGCGATATATATTCTCTTTTTGATCGCATGCTGATAATGGGAACGTATTACAGCGAAATATTTAAATAAAATGGACCAACAGAGCGGTGCGTACTTTAATATCTATTGATCGGCACATCAAATAATTTATTAATTGTCTGCATGTACCGCTTTGAATATGAATTAAGCTGATTACACGCTCAATAATGGCATGTCTTTTTAACTCGTTAACAATGGATAAATATATATTTTCTTCTTAATTTCTAATTAAATATA